TTGTCCAAAAAAGATAAAAGATGATCCATTTTTTGTTCATAGTGCTAACATGTAAAAAGTCCTCTAGAGCGCAAAAAAAAAATTTATTGTTTAATGATTCACATTCATTTGTTGTTTCAAATTATTTTTGGTGTTTGATAATACAATTTTCAGTTATAAGTTGCAGTTTGCAGTTTTCTATTTTATGTTGCAATTTATTTTGTTGTCCGATTTTTTATTATGTTGTTTGCTGAAATAAAACTAATTAGAAAATGCAAAAAAAAAAAAATGCAATACTATCGAGAACATACGAAGAAATAATTAAAATCCAACACATATGGTCTCAAGAAAATTAATAATTAAGATTGCTATAAAATAATTATGAAAATAGAATTGAAATTTTTTTCAAAGAAATGAAGAATTAATTTTTACATTGACTAGAGGCTTGAGAGAGAGAAATAATATACGTGTGCGAGAGAGAGAAAGGGGGATGAGAGAGAGAGAGAGAGAGAGAGAGAGAGAGAGAGAGAGAGAGAGAGAGAGAGAGAGGGGAGAGAGTTGTAACCGTGTGGTGTGGTGTGGAGAGGAGATAGAGTGAGAGATTTGTGGGATTTGTTTCCTTAATTTTTAAAATTAACTAATTACATAAAAATATGAATTGGGGGTATCTATGTCTATACATAAATAATTTAATTAATTTTAATTGATGGAGGACCTACACCTATATTCATCTAATAGAATGGATCTCCACCGATATAAGTCTAGAATAAGGGGTGTCTAGCCAATTTCCCCTTAAAATTAAGGGATAAAATGTAGATGTCTCCTGGAGTGGGAGAAAAACCTACCTACCATACGGTGCCGTTTAGAAGGCAAAAGGTTAAAAAAAATAGAAGTAGAATAGTAAAAAAAGAAAAATACATTAACGTACATAACTATTTTGCTAACTATTACAAAAAAAAAATGAAAAGGAGTAGCCCCATGTCTTTGTGCGGATAAAAAATACAACAATAAACAAAAATGTAAAAGAAATTTATATGGAATGGTAGGTAGAAAGGGAAAAATTTTGTGGGCCCCACGTAACTAAGGGCGTGTTTGATAAAATTAAGCACTGAATATTGAATGCTGAATACACGAACTGAATGGCTAAGACCGTATCTGAATATTGAATGCTGAACGTTTAAGTTTGTTTGATAACTGAAAGTTTTATTATGTCTGAATAGTATAATTTTACGATATTAACCTTCAAATCATTGAACATAAACTCATAATTATAACAATACACCTAGTAATTATTATATTATTAATTTAGTGAAAATAAGTACGTATAAAGTAAATTTGATTCTAAAACCTTTCACTATAAACATGAAACATAAAATGCTAAATTACATTGAGAATTGAACTAATTTATACAATTAAATATAATATATTTAAAAGGGAAAAAAAAAAGTAAATGGCAGGACTCATGCCGCATGAGAGCTAAATATTATAATATTATTTTTTTGGGATAAATTAGTCTAATAACCATTCAGCACAACCTCTGGATGAATAAGCTGTGTATTTTGACCTGAATTGTTCAGCACCTAATGATTTAATTCAGATGTCTAAAACAAACACTCTGAATAAAAAAAACCACTAACCGAATGAGAAATTGGTATCACTCAGCGGTCATTCAGCGGTATCAAACAAGCATGGTTCCCATGTATTTATCCGACGGGAAATGAAGGCAGTAAACAAAAATGGCTATAAAACGGAGTCGTTAATTAGCTAAATGTACAAAAAGAAAAGATAAAGTAAATAAGAATGTACTATTCACATTCTCCTATACACTTATAAGATATAATATATATATATATATATATATATATATATATATATATATATATATATATATATATATATATATATATATATATATATATATATATATATATATATATATATATATATATATATATATATATAATTTTAATTTGTAAACAATAAAAATAAGGGCAAATGGCAAAAATGCCTATCACATGGGACTTAAATACATTTTGGTCTACAAAAAAAACAGTCTCTCAATTAAGCCCATCCCCATGTCTTTAGTCTAAAATACCCTCAATAATATAATTTTTATCAATTCCACCCATTATGCTTTAACTTCCTTAATATTACACATTGACCCCGGATTTAAACAAATATATCACATTACCCCCCAAAACTTTTTTTTTCCAAAAAATAATTTTTTTTCTGAAATGTTTTTTTTTCGGCCAGATTCCGGCGTTGACCGCCGGTCTCCGGCGTTGACTTTTTTGTTTTTTGAAATTTTTTGAAATTTTTTTTCCTGAATTTTTTTTCCGGCCGGTGAACCACCGTTGACCGCCGGTCTCCGGCGTTGATTTTTTTTTTTTTGTCCGAATTGTTTTTCTTAGAAAAAAAATATTTTAATTAATATTACTGTCTTGACTAACTGGAATATGGAAGTGGAACTCAATCTAGTCTGCTCTGCTCTCATCCAGCAAGCTCTCTAAGACTAACTAGCACTAACATCTCTTTAGCCTCTCTGTCCTCTTCGCAAGAAAAAAAAAGTCAATTAATAGTTAAATTATTGTCTCCCACAGTTAAATAACTGTCGGAGACAGTAATTTAGCAACGAATACAGTAATATTAATTAAAAATATTTCTTTAAGAATAAAAAAGTCAATTAACAGTTAAATTACTGTCTCCGACAGTTAAATAACTGCTGGAGACAGTAATTTAGCAACGAATACAGTAATATTAATTAAAATATTTTTTTAAAAAAAAACAAAAACAAAAAAAAGAGTCAATTAACAGTTAAATTACTGTCTCCGACAGTTAAATAACTGCCGGAGACAGTAATTTAGCAGCCAAAACAGTAATATTAATTAAAATATTTTTTTTTAAGAAAAAACAAAATTATAAAAAAAAAAAAAAAAATCAACGCCGGAGACCCAGCAATCAACGGCGACCGGCCGGAAAAAAATTTCAAGAAAAAAAAATTGCAAAAAAAAAAAAGTCAACGCCGGAGACCGGCGGTCCACGCCGGTCAACGGCGGCGACCGGCGGTCTCCGGTGGTTGCGGGTGAAAGTTGGTGTCAAAATTGAAATTAGGGTTAAAATTGGTTAATTGATGAAATTGGGCTAAATTGAGATGTAAATCATGAAATTGGAGTTAAATTAGGTTTCAATGAATTGAGGGTAATTTTGGTATATATTAAAGAATTTTCCTTATTTGCAAATAAGTTTGAATGGGGTGGATTTATTTGAAAGACGAAAAAATTGAATGTCCCTCTTTTAATTAAGTGCCATTGTCGTAGACCTATTTGTCATTACCCCTAAAAATAAATCTTATTAAATATAAATAAATTAATAACGAAATAATAAAAAGAAGAAAGAAAAAAAAAAGGGGAGGAGGGAACGTGCAAATGCTCTCAAGAATCTCTCTCAAACACACACACTCAAGAACAACCATGAAAGTCACCTCAATTCAACAAATGCTTACATCAAATTAAAATATAGGAACCACATATCATTACTTCAATCCCATCATTTGGATGTGCAATGTTCCTGAAGAAAAACTCAATCAAAAAGTTCTCTAAGTTTCAATTTCTTGCAACGCATTAATATCAAAATCATCCGAACCCTTCACCACAAAGATGATTGTAGTATAAACTACAAAGTTGGTCAAGAGCCTCATCAATATGTTTAATTTTGCTAAAGATAAATGGGTAATGATATATGCAGGCCAAATTAAACATTCAGGCACTTTTTTACTATGATTTTTTACCTTTTTACCATAACTATTTACCTTTTGTACTATTCATATGCACAAAATCGGACTTTTTTTATTCATGTGCTCGTGTGAATTTACGCGAGCACTTGGCAAGTGCACGTGTGACTTAATATCAAAATCATCCGAACCCTTCACCACAAAGATGATTGTAGTATAAACTACAAAGTTGGTCAAGAGCCTCATCAATACGATTTCACACGAACAGAGAGTAATGATATATGCAGGCCAAATTAAACATTCAGGCACTTTTTTACTAAATCACACGAGCAATTAAAAAAAAAAAAAATTAACAAGGATTCATATGCACAAAATCGGACTTTTTTTATTCATGTGCTCGCGTAAATTCACACGAGCAGGCCAAAGTCCGATTTTTTTCGTTTTTTTTTTTCGGATTCGTAATCTACATAACAAGAGGATCGTAAAAACGTAAAAATTACCTCCGATCTGTTGACGATTTGCACGGGCTTTGCGAAAGAAAATCGAAAGGGTAGAGAGAGTTTTTGAGTTTTTTACCTTTTGTTTTTTGAGAAATGGTAAAAAATGTGCCTGAATATTTAATTTGTGCCTGAACAAATCATTTCAGAAGATAAATTATCTTCAAAAGAATCTGTAGTTTACAAACTTAGGCCCCGTTTGGTTGTCAAGATAAGCCATAATTAACTAAATAGTTGGACTTCATTTGATGTTTGGTATCCTCAACAAATTGTCGGGTCGACCAACCAAAATTATATAATTATGGCTTATCTTGCATTATCTTGGCTTATCTTGCCTTCTAATGAGTTTTTTTGTTAGACGTTTCAAGCTCCAATAAAATAATTGGGTCTCACTAGATTATTTAATCTTATCTTGACTAATCTTATCTTGGCAACCAAACGAGGCCTTAATTGACTAATTCTCCCTCCACAACTAAAACATGGAAGTCCAATTTTAATTCTTAGATATCCAAAAATTACCCACACCTGGAGATGGCGCAAGTACGCGGGTCATCCAAAATCAATTCGACAAGATTGTTATATTATTATAAATTAAGGGACGCAGTTAAGTTTGACGAAAAAACTACCGGACACTACCTCAATCAACCACAATGAGATTATGTACTGATATTACGAGCACTAGGGGGTCATCTGCAAAAACTTGTAACCATAGGGAGTTAAGTGATATTTACCCTTGAATTAATGAGAATACAAATATTGAAACCTCTTCGCACATATCTGCAGAGTTTGACATATTGCATGAAAATCACTATCACTTAAACAAAGATCTCAAAAAGGTATTTTATTCGTTTATATTTCTTGAAGAAGGTGAAAAACGAAAAACAAACTGATTCACTGATTCCTGTACAAAAAAAAAAAAAACTATTTACCAACCCGAAACTTGGCCCGAACAAAACTGAATGTCAAAACCATATCAATGTACAAGGTGTTAACTTTAAAAGTCTCATATTCAAAATTTAGCAACCACAAAGCTAGCTGATTTCATTTTTTCTTTTGTGGATGTTCGGTAGATCGTTCCATGCGTCTTAGAACAAATGCATCTGTGCGACAATAAAAACAAGTTCTATTAGCTGTACATTAAACACAACTACAACATGAGAAAAAAAACAATTTAATAATTCAAACAAGATGACGAAAGTAGTGAAAATAAAGCAAATATACCTGGACAATTTCGACATGGTTTAAATCCAGATGGATGGGTTTCTAAATTGAGTAGCCAATGCCTCTGATAGAAACTTAACAAGGTTTTCTCTCTCTACTTCCTTCTCTCTCTTGAGCTCTAAATGTCGGACCTAAGTCACATGCTAGAAAAAATTAGCAACACATTACCAAAACCATAATATTTGAGCATAAGAATTTTGAGCTCATCATTCAGTCTTCCGAACTTCAAACATTCAAAAAATGGTGTCACTGTCATCAAAATAACAAAAACCAACAGCATGCAAAAAACTTCTCGTTACACATTGCTAGAACATGAAATATAACACAAACCTTATTTGCACTTTGATAATATTAAGAGTCGTTTATTAATACGAAAAAAAATAAAACAATTTATCAAAGTTTCAAAAGCGCGTGTTGTAGTAAATTAACAGTGAAAACAAAATAGGTTAGTAGTCCAACCTTAACCGAGCCCTTTTGGGATATACCGGTGTCCGTTATGACCACAAGACATTTGATATCATGCTCACTCGCGTATTCATATTGTTCGGTGAGGCTTGGATCACTCAAAGGAACAAACTCTGCCTGTATGTATGTGTGTATGTATATCTTTCAGTACGTTAGATTATTATGCTATAAATAATACGAAAAAACATACTCAAGGAAGATCAGATTACTGACTTTGATATTCTCCTCCCACAGTTCGGCCACTAGTTCCATGCGCTCAACTAATAAGCCTCCGCCTCCTCTTGAACAGACAAGGATGTTAATGCCACTGTCGTTTCTGTTAATTGATTACGGCGTAAATGCCACAAATTTAATAATATGCGGTGAATAATAAAGTTTTCGTAAAAAAAACTGTGGACTTCAGTTGAAGGAAAAAAAAACCCCCACCTATAAAATTTATTATCAAGAGAAGAATGCAGCAAAACGGTCTCTAACGCAATACTAGTCCCGACTGCACCAGGAGGACTTGATTTCTAGCAGCAAAACAGGTATAGTTACAAGCATATCAGTTAGTTTTAAGACGAAACAACAAATAAAATGTGCGTCGTGTTGAATGAGGTTAAAAAAAAGAAAGGGTAAATTACACCTACACCCCTGAGGTATACTAAAATAACTTTAAGGTCCCTGTTGTATCGGTAATTACAATCATCCCCTGAAACATTGTTAGAAACCCTAATGGAAGAACGCATTGGATAAGTTATTCCGTTAGGGTTCTAACAGACTATTATTCCGTTAGGGTCTAACAGTGTTTTTTTTTGTTGAGTGGTTTAATTATCACTATAATGAAACGGAAGAAATGAAAATGATATCAAGGGGAGAAAAAATCAGCGTCACTTACATTTTCAGTACTGGCCATCTGCTGAAGCAAGTGATCGTAACGACCACCAACAGAAAGCAGTGTCCCTTCCATTAGTGATACCGGACTATTATCTTTTCTTAAATAAATCTGCATGAGGAAATGAATATTTATAAATAAGAGAAACAAACATAATAAAGCTTTGTTATTTATGCCATTTCTCAACATGCTCAACGGTTCTATTGATTAGCCTTATTGATTAAAGAAATGAATTTAACTTTTTCTGAAACATTATTCCAGGATGATTTGTGATGACGAAGAATACCTTAGGGGGTTGGTTGTAATTAACAAAACAAGAGGGGGGGTTTTGTGATGTGTGTAATTTAACCCTAGTCTTATTTCATCAGAAATGTTTTGCACTCATTAACATCTAGATCCTTGATAGAAGATAACTGAGAAATCTTAGCCGTAAAACGAGAGATGTCGGATACTCTCAGATAAATTTGTAACATGCATCTGGTATGTCATAAGAAATGAATATAATACCTGGAAATACAAGTTTCTGTGGTAGATTTCAGTTGGTGGCATAAGTGCGTCAAGAAACACATGTCTATCAATCTTCCAAACTCGTAAGTATTTGAAAAGTTCTGACAACTCATCAAGTGCCTTGCCTGTGGATTTATCTGCAGTAGCTATCTACTGTGAATTTTCCTACATGATAGCTAAATATAAGTGATAAAAAGACGAAATAAACTAAAGATACCTTCAGACAGGGCACCCCTTAGTCTAGGAATTGCCTGATCTGCAGTCCCACAAAACCTTAGTCCTACAGTTTGTAATCTATCTAAAGCATCATCAGCTAGGCCAAGTTCCTGGAAATAACGGAGAAAAAAAATATATTTTACTAGTTCTAAAACAAAATTTCCAATCTTATTTTTTTTGGTCTACGTATCAAAAAATGCATAGTCATAATTGGGAAAAATTGGAACGCTTTTCTTAATTGTTTCCTTATAAATCTTTTTAAGGAAATATTGCATTTGGTAAACATAGTTAGAAAAACTCATCCAACGTAGACCTTAATTTGGAAAGAGCACATAGCAGATAGAAAGTAAAGTTGTATGGCTGCAAAATCATAAAACCGATAAGGGAAAGAGAGTGCAAAACCAATTATGTGGCTATAGAAAGAGCTTACGCACCTGTTGAAGTTGGCGTCTAATTACCACCCATTTTGACTTCCTTTCAGAAGATTGAGGTCGTAAGGAACCCAAAAGCGAGAGAAGCTGCAGTAAACAAAATCATCAAAAGAAAGAAATTTGTTTGTCCATGTAATTGCATTGTTGTCAAACACCGATCCTACCTCAGCTACTTTTTGTCTATTGTCTGATTTGATTCCTGTATAAGACCATATCCCTTCCATCAAGTCCGCGTGATTTAAATGAATGTCACAAGACTCCGAATTGAAAAAATGAGAAAGAATGTCCATTGTCGCCTGCAGTTGTACAACAAGAATTAAAAAATATGATACAGAAGACATGACATGATAGGAACAGGTACCCTCGGGCCCTGAATAAAACGAAAAAAGAGATAGCCTACTTAGGAAATTTTTAGTAGCAATTAATGAGATAATGCTTTCAATCTCCCGACATCCTACCAAACCAAATGTTTGTTTTCATTATCCCAAAGAAAAAATTCAATCTTCTCCAAAATGAAATAGGGTCCACTAAACGTGACCATTACCTGATTCAAATAGATACTATTAAAAAAAAAAAAAAAAAAAAAAATCTTGGGAAGGGAGAATATTTGTCGGCCGTCGAAAGATCTGTCGAGATCAAATGAGTAGGAAGAAGATCCACAGTATTGTCGAAGAAACAAGAATCTCGATCTTAGAAGCTCAGTGGTTAGAGATCATAAGAGGGTTTTCAAACATTTTCTTTCCTAGGGTTCTAAAACGCGTTTCCAACTTTTCTTTGATTTATCCCCTTTTAGTATGCAATCATGCACATGCATGCACAGATATATAAGCATACACTGCCACAAAGGATCAAGACTAAGTTCAGAACTTTTATTTTCTTTTTTCCTTTTGTTTTCTCTTTTCCGGTGTTTACTTTCAATTACTTTTTGATATGCTGAAACATGAAAGAGTATGTGTGTAGGACCTTAATAACCTCTGCCTCTGTCAGCGAAGTTGCTCCTCCAACGATATCAAAATCCCCCTGTACAGAAAGCATGTTATTTAAATAAAACCCCGATTATATTCTTCACCAAAAGTAACACCAGTATAAATATTATACACATCATACACCTGGAGGTACCGATTTGGAGGTGAATGGCCAATTGCTCTTCGGTATACATATGATATTTCATAGCGCCTGAAAAATGTTTTCTGCACAAAATAGAAAGTTTTAACTTATTCAAAATCGCAAAAGAATCTCAAATTGTGAAGTCAGCAGTGACAATATTACTAAAAATCTGGATTGCCAACAATCAACAATGTTCAAATTGAGCAATTGCGAGAACTAGGTTTTTAAAACAAAACCTAGTTTATTCAAAAGACGTGTCCAATTCGCTAAGCTGCTCTAACTCGCTTAAGACTCGTTTATGCCACTACAGGATTCTTGAAAGTAGACATTTTCTTCATACAATTATAAAACTATTTCTTTTACTAATACACAAAAATAAGGGAAAAAAAACGGATCAACAGGGAACTATTGCTTTCACTAATACACAATCACTTTTATTAATGTAAAGAAATATCAAATAAAAATAAAACTGACGAGTACTACTACGTATGCTTGAAATGAAAATTAAACTTAAACACATTATAGACTTCTAAGAGATAAATATTCCTATTTTGCAAGGTGAACATGTCAACTACTCCCTCTGTTCCACAATATCTATCACTTTAGAATTCCAATGCTGCATTAATTACATATTTTTCAATTCTGCCCTTATTAACTGTCCAGCACTCTCTCTGCATTAATTAGTAAACAAGGGTATTTTGGTCTAACAATCTATATTTTCCCAAAATCAAGACATAGTTATTTCTTAAGATTTGTGCAAATGTGAAAAACTAAACCACCTTAGGAACGGAGGGAGTAATATAAAGATCATCACATTCCTCGGGAAACCAACTAGCAAAATGGAAAAAGGAAAAAGGAAAAAAAATAGAATTTCAAAGAACGGGAAAAAATGGTAAATCTTAGTGTGTCAACTTTCAATCAATGATGAGCATTAAGAAAAAACAAAACAGCAAGTCGAAATTATAAGAGTACCTGCTTTGCGATGATCCACTTTGCAAAGGGAAAGCGTAGCTCATGGCAAAACTCAATCATATCTCCTCCATGGGTTAACGTTTTCACAGTATTCCTTAATATTTCAGCATAGGAACCTTAGAAAAGGAAAAATCAATAAATGCAGCAAAGATTTAAGGATTTTAAAAGAATGGCGCACCTATTTAATTGCTGGAAATCACCGAGTATTCTCATCGGTATGATCTCTAAATGCTTTGCACAGTGCTGTCTACAAACTTCTGTAGCAATATCGATAACTAGATCACGATTAGCAGTGTCCACATCCGTGAAAAGAATTGATGAAGTATCGTCTCTAACTCTTCCAACAGTCTCGTGATTGTCCTTTTTGCTCAACGAATCCTCATCGAAAATTGCTGACACAAGTTTGTCGTAAATACTTGTGTCTTCGGAGCTATGAATTGTCTGTAATATATCTGCAAGTTGAGGTCGAAAAGAAGTTAGTTGTATATGAAATCAAATTTCCATTTATTCAATCATCACCATCACCTAAAGAAAATGAAAAACATATCCTTTTGAGTCGAGTATTTCATTAGAAATCAAAAGGGAATAAAAAGAACGTTTGACCATTATATATGACGTTATATATCAACCTTGTTATAATAAAAAAATTATAGACAACAAGCTATCGACTTGTTATGTATATATATATATATATATATATATATATATATATATATATATATATATATATATATATATATAAAATAAATTAAAATAAAAAAAAAAGCTCGTGAGTTGTGAATAACTGTAGCAGGCTCAAGCTCGAACTCGAGTTTTTGTCGTGCCGGTTTGGCTTATTACACCCCTACATATAGATGTACTAGCAATTTATCACATTTCATCGTATATGTTGATATAAGAACCAAGGTAGTTAAACTCGGGATTTAAATCGTACAATAGTAAGATTCTACGGCTTTACACCCTTACTAATAGTAAAATCGGAGTGCTAAATCGCAAATTCCTTAAACCCAGTTGAAATCGGTAGTAAAATCGGTAATTTCAAGTTTGGGCTTGAATCTCTGACTTTCTAACGAAAATTTAGAAAGCCCAATTACCCAGATAAGCCCTAATTTGCTAAAAACATGTTTTCTTAATGTTTTATGTTTGTTAGGACATATTTTATGCGTGTTATTACTTGTTTTATTTCTTTTCGGAGATGTTTTCTAAGTACTAAAAAATACAAATAAAATGGCTTGCTATTAATTTTACAATATATGTAAACCCTTACCATTTTTCGATCCGATTTTGCTACCCTCTCCGATTCAACTTAAAATCCTGATTTTGACTACCTTGGTAAGAAGTATCATAAAAAATCTACAAAAAGATTAAAACGACTTACTATCCAATAATTCGTACTCCATTCGCGGTGGAAAATCATGCTTAAGAAGTTCAGTGGCCGACGGGCGATCTGACGGACTTGGGGACATCAAGCGCACAAGCAAGGACGCCTGTTCCGGAAACTCGGTGACCCAACCAGAAGGTAGCTCTCCCTTTAGTTTCAGATCAGACAGCACAACGTGCCTCTCCATTGCTGTGTCAAATGGATGCCACAGTTCAAAGAACACAATTCCTAAGCTGTACATATCAGCCTATACATACATAGATACATACCGTGAAATGAGATGGGCACATATAAGCGAAGCCACCTTCTCATAGTATATGTGTTAAGAAATGATGAAATTAAAGATTGACCTTCTCGTTAATTTTCGGCCACATTTGCTCTATCTCGGGAGCAGTGTAGAAATAAGTGCCAACTTGACCTGTACCGTCGAGAGATATTCCAACTGTTTCGATAGCATCTGCATCCTGGTCCAATTGCTCCAGCTTCAAAAACTTTGCTGAATGTAAAAACGGAAATCCATTTAGTAAGTTACTGCAAGAAAATATAGACAACTCAAATAAAACGGAGAGTGACGACTAAAAGGAGATCTCTTGAAAAAACACGCGGGCTATGTTGCGGTTAGTGAAAATCATGCTTCAATTACGAAACATAATATAAATCTAAATAAGATGCAACAGAAGTCCTTTCAACGAACAAAATAAGCGACAAACTAGCTTAACGATTAATGGCGAATATGGACGGAAGAAACTATGGAGACTGATTTTATATACACAAGAAGCAAACATTTGACACGGAATTTGTTAATACGTAATGTTTGTATGATTTAAGGTGCTAGAAAATTGGTACTTACCGAGACCAAAATCCCCAATTTTGATATCATTGCGCGCGTCGAAAAATATGTTACTAGGAGTCAAGTCGCGATGGATGATTCCTTGTCCATGTATATGTGCAAGGCCTTCCACAATTTGGCGGAATAAATGCCATGCGAGTTCTTTATCCAGGTTATTATAAGATTCAAACATTTGCTTCAGTGTCCTTCACTCGAATAGGTAAAATTAGATGTTAGCACAGTATATATATCAAAATCCAAATCAACACAAATTGTACGCGGTTAGAAAAGGTCTCCTGATAAATCGGTAGAAACCTCGATTTGACTGTCCAAATATGTACTCCCTCTGTCCCATATTATTTGTCTTTTTGGGGTTTTTTTTTGTCCCAAATTATTTTTCATTTTAGAGTTCCAACAAAGCATTAATTGCATTTTTATCAATTTTGCCCCTTATCACTCTTAATTAGTTAATTGAAAAATAATTAATGACAAGGGTATTTTAGTATTTACTATGTTATTGTTGGTATAATCTGTGCATATTTATTGAGAATCTTAATATGCGTGCAACCACCCAAAACGACATATAATATGGAGCGGAGGGAGTATCTAGGTATTTAGCGTGTCGCAGAATTGAACTTCGATCTTAAATTCTTTTATGTTTTTTTTTTCGTTTTTATTCCTTACAGTTATGCAAGCAAATGGTGCCGATTCCCTTACACTTCATATTTTTTCATGCACATGAGCATACTCACAAGTTCCCAAACTGCAGACTCGTACAAAGTGGTAAAGTCAAAGATTTATCCGATTTGTTTTGATTTTTTTCGGGGGCATAAAGAAAAGTAGGAATGGATATTAAAGAAGTTGCTTTACCTTGGGCAGTACTCCATCTGAATATATAGGTACGTTGACTCGAGCTTATTTTCGTGTCCAAACTGGTCTGAAGAACCTGTGTCCTTGTAGCTGTAACTGGAACTCATGCCAGTTTTCGAACCCCATGCGGTATTCGCAGAGCTTCCAACAACTCCTGTTTCATACCAAGCCTGAAATATTTAAATCAGGCGAAACAAGAATAAGAGACGAAATCATAGTACGAATAACAGAAAACAAAATAATAAGCCGTAGTTTTCAATCTATTATAATTATAGTAAATGTTGATTTGATCACCTTTACCGAAAATCTTTAAGTTGTTAAGAGATGTCAATAATTTAATATTTAGTAACTCTACCACTGAATTGAGGAAAAGGAATAAACCTGAAAATTCAAGCGAAAAAATAATTAATTCTCAAATGTCGGTACTATATACCTGGTAGTACCGTACAACATGTTGATGCTGCAATCGCGCAAGAGTAGCTACTTCCCTAAAGACCAAATCATGCAGGAGGTTAAATGACAGACGAAGTACATAGAATTAAGTAAAGCGCTTTCGTAAAGAATTCGGCATGAAAAAAAAATGTGTGCTAAATAGGACCAACGTAATAAAACAAGATTCTTACGAGGGAACATAAAATTTGAGGTGCTAAAAAAGCAGCAGAAACAGACCTCAATATGCGGTCATTTACAGGCAGGCTCTTTTCCTTTAACCGAATCTTCTTCACGGCATATTGCCTACCGTCTAACTTATTCTTGCATAACACAACGTGACCAAATCCTCCATGACCTGTCAAAGGTAAAAAAGTATATAGTTTCAGACATACAGAATATTATATGACCACAACGAGTCGAACACGAAAGAAGCATTAAACAAATAGCACATCTAGTTGTAAACTTATGCAAAAGATTTAGAGTGAATGTAACCTAACTCAATGAAATCCTTCATAAAAATATTGGAAACAATATGCAAGTAAAATAAATCGAAAAAGTACTTCCTCACCAAGAGGTTGGAGCTCTTCAAAATCATTCAAATAACGGGAATTAAGAACCGCAGATGAACTTTCGCCTCCAGAATCAGGAGCAGTTTTCCAGAAGTTGGAGACTTTTGACGAACCCTGTTAGATTGAATTCAAGAAAATAAAAAATAAAATAACATCATTAACGAAATGCACATCCATTTTACATGGTTAAGAGAGAGAAAAACAAAATGCACAATTAACTAACAATGTGCTTCCTAAACACACGATCAAAAGTCTTGTCAAAGGACGAAGCTGGTTTAATAGCCATATCTCGCACGCCTTCTGAAACTATCTGAAAAAGGAATAAATTTATAGGCAGTGGGTAAAAAAAAATACATATATATATATATGTATATATATATATATATATATATATATATATATATATATATATGTGTGTGTGTGTGTGTGTGTGTATGTAACCCAATAAACGGAGAAAAACTCACCCCTATGTTGAGGAGCTCTGACGATATTTCCGGCAAAGCATGAGCAAGTGGTCCTTCGGGAGCACAGGCAAGGCGTAGCAAGTGGGCCTATGGGAAGCAAAATTTATTCGTAATTAAATATTTAAAAAACAAATAGCCCAGAATAATATAACAAGAAAATCACCAGAAGCAAATCTCTCTCGGCGGTTTGAGTAAGCTGATACTGAGCAGTGGAATCAGAGGATGACGACTCTGAATCACTATCCAAATCACCGTAATCAGTTTCTGATAGATTTCCTTCGGCAAAAATATCCTGTACAACGAAGAAACTTTCATAATGCTTCGTTAACAATAAAATTAGCTATGCATATATTAACTCAAGTAAAACGAAAAAAAAAGACCACCTTCTTAAAGTCAATGGTGCTATTTCTGTCTGATTCACCACTACTCGAATGAGTACTTTTTGTCTCACATTCACTCTCTTCTTCAAGTGTACCTAATTTTAACGAATGCTTATTTACATGCTCTGCTTTATCACTTTCCACCTCTATTGGCTTCGTATTCTTCTCTAATTGCTTGTCCGAATCAATATTTTTCTGCTTCAAACCGTCAAATTTCTGAGAATTTATTATTTTGTTGTTATCTTCCATTTCCAGGTTCCAGTGCAACAACTCCCCCGAGCCGCTGAAAAGATCTACATGACTATAGACAAAAGAGCAGATCTTGCCACTTGGCACAGTAGCATCCTTTTCAAAGAGCTGCCGACTTTTATCATGGCACATAACCTTGACAAGAAACCAATAAAAGAAAAATGAGTGATCTGTATGTTACTACTAAACGAGTTTATAAAATCACCGGATTTATCAATTATATGACCGTGCAAGTATTATTAAACTGACTATCAAAAGGTTATAAGATGTTTCAAGTACAATTAAATTTGAAGTGTTTTCATCACTGATGGTTGCCATGCCACAAATCAACATTTCTGCAATAAACTCGAGCAGGAACGAAAATTTAAGACAGACCAAAAAAAGACGGTGCTTACAGATTCTTGTGGCAGCCCTTGTGGGATAATTTCAGACAAAAACTCTTGAGCAGCCTCAACTAAATTGTAAATCATCACACGTCCTTCTCTAGCATTAGAATTAGCCTGCAATAGTGTACCACAACATATTCATTATTCAAAAATTACGAAGAAAAAAATGAAGCAGACTTAAATAAACGATATCAATATTTTACATGGAATATGGAAACATACATACAAGAGAAGGATATAAGAATATATAAACCGAGACATCACACATGGAACATATGCATTTAATCAAAGCTATTCACAGGATTTCTTCTTCAGTCAGTCAATTGCAAGGATTAATTTGTTAGGACAAGAAAAAAGGCAATATTTATAGAGTATGGGAGTGTAGGAAAATACTGTTTCTAACGACTCTCCTTGAAGTATACAGCCGACTTACATAGTTTGTGGCAATAGATTTCTTTAACATCAGTTCAAGCCAACAATAACACTGAATTTGAATCACCATACATTATAATTATAACCCCTCTCGTCATTTTAATTCAAAGAAGGGAAACATCTTAAGAAAAAAAATTGCATATAGTTTGTCCATCACTCAGTAAGAGATATATAAAATATTTTTGTTCATTACCTATAGAACTCTATAAGGATACAAATATGATATAGAGCTTATATAAAGGAAAAGTCAACCAACATAGTTTCCATAGTCTGGATGAAATTTTACATACGGTGTTATAAACTAACACGGCAAATTGCTAACATTTTTCCCGATACAAAAAGTTAAGCATGCAAGACTTATAGCACACTACCATTGGACAGTCATATCACTTAATAAATGTATGGAGATCAGAAATCTATACCTGATCATGGAGTAGAGATAGAAGGTTTTCCGCATCGGTTTTAGATAAGCCTTTCTCGTGTACTATCTGAAGCTTTGGGCATTTGTATGGATAACCTTGTACAAATCTGTAAAAGAACATGCTCTTAGGCCCCGTTTGGTTGGCAAGATAAGATTAGCCAAGATAGGATTAAATAGTCTAATGAAACCCAATTATTTTATTGGAGCTCGCGACGTCCAACAAAAAAAACACACTAGAAGGCAAGATAAGCCATGATTACATAATTTTGGCGGGTCGACCCGGCAATTTATTGGGGATACCAAACATCAAATTAAGTCCAACTATTTAGTTAATCATGGCTTAACTTGGCAACCAAACGGGGCCTTAGATAAAGTGTGACAAGATCACCATTCGGTGAATAATGGATATGGATCACAAACCTTACTGAGAGCTCGGCAGAAACATCGGAATCCTCATATCCAGTATCCTTTGAGTACGGCCTAATTAATTCATAAATAGAATATCACGAAAAGCAAGAATGAAGATGTAAATCTAAGTTTAATTTGTCGTCGTATATCATATAATCTGGAACCTGATTTTGATGTTGATTTGAGTAGGTGATTCAGAAACAACTTTGCAATCATCCTGAAATATGGCACACCTATAATTCCAGGATCCATGAAATTAGTCACATAGAAGTTTGTTAATATATCACAAGCATTTCTAAGTAGTTAACTGGCGTTCTACACGGCTGCAAGAAGTAGAATAAAAGAGAGCTTTTAACGTGAATACCGTCAACTTTCCAAACATGTTTCAAGGAACAAATTTTAGCTGAAAAAAATCGCGAAAACCAGCTCTAATTTGAAGCGATAGAATACAATATTTGAGGCGCACATTAACCATAAATGATCAACATTCTACTCGATAAAGCGGAGGGGGAAAATGTGCATCAAGAGACAGAGTTCTGATAAAATTCAAGTTCTACTTTTTCTCGAAAATCATTTACTGGAATTAATCAAGGACAAGAAATTAAACATCGAGAATCGAAAACGCATTAAACGTGACACGTCTATGATAACGACAACACAACTAATTTGAAAACACGAACAAGGAAACAACAACACTAATTTATATGAACATGAAAAATAGAATGATCATTCTTTCCTGAATTCATTGCTTTTTTTTCAAATTTTAAAATAATGTTTATAATATTGAACTGGAGATAGACACAATTCCAAAAAAAGTTGTAGCCAATTGCAATTTGAAGAATTTGATAGGTATGAATTATCAATTGCTGTCCCCTTTTTTTCATCTCAATTGGGAATGAAATGCATAGTAAAAGGGATGTGATAAATGTCAATCGAGCTTTAATAATACCGTTACAACTTCAAACGTGATTTTGATCATTTTCAATTCCAAATTTTGCAAAACCCAAAAAATAGAATTTGCAGTATTCTGAGTTAGTTTTCTAATCCAACTTGAATCACCAAAATTGGATGTCGGTTTCTAATCCAACTTGAATCACCAAAATTGGATGTCGGACGAGAAAGATGTACATGAATCAATGGATACTGCCCACAACTTTGATGTATTGAGGTATCTAAAATTCAAAATGTGACTCATTCATGCATAACTTTATCACACGGCATCTAATCTAGCGGATTTAAGTCGGATTAGAAAGCTAACCCAAAGAACCACAATTTCCCGTGTCTCGAACTTTGCCAAAATCAAAAATAGAAATATGTCAAAATCAGGTTCGAAAAATCAAAACGACGTTAGTAAAATTGAAACGACATTTAACATTTCAGTTTGTATAAACATGAAAGATTATTCTTTCCTGAATTCAATTTTATTTTTTCTTCTCTCTAAGTACTTTACTATTGAACTGGAAATAAACATGAATATCTTACAAGGCGGTGACTTCCTCGGCAATAATTTCAGAGTTATCGGCGGCGATTGAGTTGTGGTCCTTTGACTGTGACCTTCGTCCGCCGCGCTTCTTCTTCTTCTTCGAACTGTGACCCATTCTTCACAATTTTTGCTAACTGATAATTTTTTTTTTCTTTTTCCTGTTTGATAAATAATTAGAGAACGAAATCTCAGATAATTGGATTTCAATTCATTTGTGAAGAATGAAAAATCAACTTATGGGAGCAAGTCGCTCGGAATTTGAAAATTGGTGACAGAAAGAGCTGGCGCTGAAGTGGCAACGCCTTTATACCTAATGTAACGCAAGGGTACACAAATTAATAAAAATCCAAAAAAATTAAAAAAAAAATTCTTTGTATATTTCATTTTCATATAAGTCGTATATGCTATAGTGGTGTTTGCAAATGCTTTTTGAAAGTGAGTATGCGTTTTTTTTTCTTCTCATAATTTATTTTTAGGTGTTTGCAAAATCAACTTTTGCTTTTACTTCTCTTAAAATAATCTGTTTTAAGTTATTTTTTTAAAAGCACCTATAATCGTGCTTTTTCAATTGCGTTCGTGTTTATATGCTATGATTTTATGCATGTTCGATTTATTAAAGTAGTGTTTGTCGTATTATGTAATTGGGAGTTTTCGTAAGTTTAAAATATTTTTGAAATATTGTTTAGAATTTTTTCCAGCTTTAAAATTGTTTAAAATTGGAAAATCGGATCTGAAATTGTTTTAAAAATGTCGGTTTTTAAATTGTTCGTATCGAACCGGCCGAACCGGCCGGTTCGATGGTTGTGTGCGGTTTAGTTGACCGAATCCACGTGGATTCGGGTCGGTCAGACCGGTTCTCGGTCCGACTGACCCGGCCCACTGATTTGGGTCAGCTGGACCGGACAGAACCGGCCCGATTCGGTCCGAACCGGTCAGACCGGTTGGGCCAACCGGTCCACTGAAAATAAAAAAAAATAATAAAAAAAATTCAGATTTCTAAAATTAAACTTGAAACAAATTGATTTTAATTTTTGGAAAATTATTTTCAATTAATCCCAATTAGATAATTGGATCGACAATCATCTATTTTAGTAAATAGGTGTTAGATTAATTAATTAATTTAAATTGTTAAATTGATTTCAATTAATAGAACACATATATAATATTGATTATAAATTCAATTTAATTAGTAGTACCTCAACATTATTTGAATGATTTATGCTAGTTGAGGTTCTATAATTATTTTGAAAATCCGATAATTAATTAATGTAATTAATTATAAAATTAGGTCGTATGTTCCTCTTAGGGCAATATGCGCTTCCATATACCTTTAGAGAACATAGATGTAGGAATCACATAGACCAATCCAAAACCTTCTGATGAGATAAAACATTTTAATAAAAATCCCTCATTCTTTTAATTAAGAATCATTTCAAGCTATAAAGAAAAACCCAATCTGTTGAGTTATTTCTTTCCTTCTGCCAACGGTTGGATTATGTGTAGCCCTTTACTATAGTGCAGTAAGCCGTGTTAGCGGGGAGTGCTATGGTAGAGTAAGCTGTAATTCAATTGACATATTGATGAAGGTAGCCATAGAAAAGGGTTATGTTGAATTAACGTGGTCGGCTAGATTAACTAGGGACTGCATTAGTTTGGCATAATCGAGTTCTATGAGCACCTTTGATTGGTAGGTTAGACTTGACACACGACGATTTTGATATTCGCGAGATTAACTTAGGTCATTATCAAGTGTGAGGAAAATTAATTTAGGGTCATATTGTGGATATGATTGATTGTGATCTACCTTTGGGCAAATATAATCGGGCTAGATTAACTACGGGTTGTATTTGTCCATTGGACCTAAAGCCCACTAAGAAAAATCAGTTTTCTCGTTTGTCTACTAGAGGGAAGTGGAACTCGATAAAATTAGTGGGAGAACAATTAAATAACATAAGTCCAAACATTTAATTGTAACAATCATTTAACGCGAATCTCTAATAATCCTCTTCTCTATATATCTCAGATAATCATGTCTAAGAATCCCATAATGTCAATCCTCGACAATAAACTCAATGGCCCTAATTACCTAGATTGGTTGCGTAGTCTTAAGCTTGTGCTAACTGTTGATGGGCGTCTCTATGTTTTGAACGAGAGGCTTCCCTCCACTATACCTGACACAGCGACTGATGCTGAAAAAGAAACTTATGAAGTTTGGAAGAAAGATGACACTCATGCTAGGTGCTATATGATAGCCGCCATGGAGCCCGCGCTTGCGAGGAAATATGAGTCTCACTTGCATGCTTTCGATATAAAGGCTCATCTCGATAGCATGTATAGTGAGAATATTAGGGCATCGAGGTACGCTGCTACAAAGGAGTTGATCACAGCGAGACTGCGCGAAGGGACTTCGGTCCACGAGCACTGTCTCAAAATGATCACTCTCCTTGAAAAGCTAGTGAATCTTGATGTCACCCTCCCGGCCGAGCTCTCGTTGGATTTGATCATGTTGTCTCTTCCTAGTTCCTATGAATCGTTCATAGTGAACTTCAACATGAACAAACTAGATCCTCCCTTGGATGAGTTAATGAACATGTTGGTCAGCTTCGAGTCCACCATTAAGAAAGAGAAGTCTGTTCTCATTGCTGCTCCTTCTGGAAAGAAGAGTTCTTTCCAAAAGAAGAGTTCTTTCCAAAAGAAGAGAAAGGAAAGAGTTCCCTTCCCAAACAGCAAGTTCGAAGTGGGTGAAGGTAGTGGGGGCCCCAAAGCAAAGGTAAGCAAACAAGTTGATGATGCTTGCCATCACTGTGGAAAGAAAGGACATTGGCGCCGCAACTGCAAGGCTTACCTAAAGCAGAAAGGTTCTGAAAAGGGTACGTATTTCATTGACGTAAATTTGTCTGTCAACTCTTCTTCTTGGGTATTGGATACGGGCTGTGGCTCACATTTGTGCAATGATTTGCAGCTAATGACAAGAAGTCGAAGACTTAGAGCGGGTGAGACCTACCTAAGGATGGGGAATGGAGCAAGAGTTGCTGCTGAAGCCATTGGCACAATTTACTTAAATGTTTTGGATTCTAGTTTTCCTATTGTTTTGAACAATTGTTTATTTGTTCCGTCGCTCATTAGAAACCTTATTTCTATTCCTGTACTAGATATTGAAGGTTTTACTTTTGTTTTTGGAAATTCGATTTGCATTATACAAAAGAATGAGAATTTGATTTGCAAAGGACGGCTATTAAACAACTTATATGAACTAAATCCAAGTGAAATACCTATTAACGTTATATCAGCAAAACGTAAGGAGATAGATCAAAACCCCGCACAACTTTGGCACGCTAGATTAGGTCATGTCTCTTTAAGAAGGATGAACGATTTTGTTAGTGAAGGATTGTTCTCTTTGGAGGACGTGAAATCACTACAAACTTGTGAATCTTGCCTTAAAGGGAAAATGACCAAGTCGCCCTACAAAGGGGTAATGGAACGAGCCGAGGGTCTTTTGGATTTGATCCATACAGACGTATGTGGTCCACTAAGTGTTAGTGCGAAGGGTGGATATAACTACTTCGCTACCTTTACCGATGATTATTCTAGGTATGGGTATGTGTACTTGATGAAGTACAAGTCTGAAACATTTGAAAGGTTCAAAGATTTTAGACACGAAGTAGAAAAGCAACTCGGACGAAGTATTAAGAAGCTGCGATCCGATCGTGGTGGGGAATACTTGAGCATCGAGTTCATTGACTATCTAAAAGAGAATGGGATACAGTCCCAATGGACTCCACCGGGAACTCCTCAACTTAATGGAGTATCCGAACGTCGGAATCGAACTCTATTAGATATGGTTTGATCAATGATGGGGTTCACAAACTTACCGGCATACTTGTGGGGTCATGCACTCCGTACTGCCGCGTATTTGCTGAATAGAGTTAACACTAAGGCAGTTAAATCCACACCTTATGAACTTTGGCATTCCCGAAAACCCAATTACAAACATATTAGGATATGGGGTTGTCCCGCTTATGTGAAGCGGTTAGTGGGAGATAAGTTGGATAGTAAATCCGACTTGTGCTATTTTGTGGGGTATCCCGAAGACTCGATGGGATACGAGTTCTACTATGTCAAAGAAGCAAATTAAAGACGTTTGTTTCGAGAAATGCCACCTTTTTGGAAAGGGAGTTTCTATCCGATAGAAAGGGCAGCATGATAGAACTTGAAGTCGTTCAAGAACCACAAAGTGAAGTTCAAACGCAAGAACAAGTAATCGAACCAATACAACAAACCACTAATATACCTCCTGAACCTACGGTACGTAGATCCGAAAGAGTTCGGAAAATGCCGGATAGGTTATTCCTCCTCGAAAATGATGAAGATCATGTTGATCTTGGACGAGATCCGAGAACGTATAATGAGGCCGTATCGGATGCGGACATGGGACATTGGCTAACTGCCATGAAATCCGAAATGGACTCCATGTACTCCAACAAGGTATGGACCTTGGTAGATCCACCTAAGGGAATCGTTCCTATAGGCTGCAAGTGGATCTATAAAAGGAAAATTGGAGTGGATGGAAAGGTATCGACCTATAAAGCTAGATTGGTAGCGAAAGGATACACTCAAAGGCAAGGTGTTGACTATGAGGAAACCTTTTCGCCAGTCGCGATGCTGAAGTCCATTAGGATTTTGCTGGCCATAGCTGCGTGGTACGACTACGAGATATGGCAAATGGATGTGAAGACCGCTTTCCTTAATGGAGATATTGAGGAAGAAATTTACATGGCGCAGCCGGAAGGCTTCATATCTTCTGGAAGTGAGCAAAAGGTTTGCAAGCTCCAGCGATCCATTTATGGATTGAAACAAGCATCCCGTAGTTGGAACATTAGGTTCGACTCAACTATCAAAGAGTTTGATTTTGAGAAGAATCCGGAGGAACCTTGTGTATACAAGAAGGTTAGTGGAAGGGCAGTGATATTTTTAGTGCTTTATGTTGATGACATTCTACTCATTGGGAATGACGTAGGAATGTTGCAACAAACGAAAGCATGGTTGTCCACACGTTTCTCAATGAAGGATTTGGGAGAAGCATCTTACGTATTAGGAATACGCATCTATAGAGATAGAGCAAGAAAGATGCTTGGCTTATCCCAAAGCCTGTACATAGACACCGTTATAAAACGGTTTAGCATGGAAGAATCCAAGAAGGGATTCTTGCCAATGTCCCATGGGGTTCGTCTCTCGAAATCTATGTGTCCGCAAACACCTAGTGAAGTCGAGGAGATGAAAAGGACGCCTTATGCTTCTGCTATAGGAAGCATAATGTATGGCATGCTATGTACGAGACCCGATATTGCGTATGCTGTGAGTGTCACAAGCAGATATCAGTCTAACCCCGGCCCGGCTCACTGGAAAGCCGTGAAAGATATCCTCAAGTACTTGCGAAGGACTAAGGATATATTTTTGGTCCATGGGGGTGCCGAGTTGAAATTAGAGGGTTTCACCGACTCTAGTTTTCAATCGGATGTGGACGACTCAAAGTCGAATTCTGGATTTATATTCACGCTTAATGGTGGTGCCGTGTGTTGGAAGAGTTCCAAGCAAAGCACGACGGCCGATTCCACTACCGAAGCGGAATACATTGCAGCGTCTGAAGCTGCAAAGGAAGGGACTTGGATAAGGAAATTCATCCAAGAGTTGGGTGTCATTCCTGATGCTAGTGATCCAGTACCGTTATACTGTGATAACACCGGAGCCGTGGCGCAAGCTAAGGAGCCGAGATCTCATCAGAAGTCGAAGCATATTCTGAGGAAGTATCACGTGATCCGAGAGATCATTGATAGAGGTGAAGTTAAAGTAGAACGAGTCACCTCGGAAGAGAACGTTGCAGACCCCTTCACGAAGCCTTTACCGAGATCGGTCCATGAGAAACATCGAGAGTCGATGGGATTGCGATTTATGGGTAGTTGGCTTTAGGTCAAGTGGGAGATTGTTAGAGTAGGTGACCAACAAGCCAACTTGTGGCTGTGGTCCTTCGTATTTATTATTGTAATAAACGAACCTTTATTCGTATTAATGATAAAACACATTGGCATTCTATATCTTTGTCCCTTTGTCACAAGCATAGATATAGTCCTTACAGTTATTACAAGTACTAGTAATTGATCGTTAGGATCGTGAGATATTTACTTAAGTATTATAACTGTTAAACCTGTTCCTAGTCGAAGGGTTACGCCACTAATGAGGATATCGGCCTTTCCCATTAAGACTATCACTTAGTGTATGTGTACTGCATCTCATCAGTAAACGGTATTGTGATATCGGCATGCACAAGTGGGTGCTCGTAAGTTGACGAGTTCACTGAACTCCCTCACCCTAGAAATCTCTAAGTGGTTCCCAATAATCGAGTAGAGATATCTATGGTATAGTTGTACACCATTAGTCCTTATGACCTAGACATCACCGTGACTTCACTAGAGGACCAGCTGTATCGTGACCTGTCCCTGAGTTCCACCGAGGACCATCCCAAGGGCCAGTGTTCGTGCAGTCCGAAATCTAGTGGGAGGTTTGTGCATTGAAGTCGGGGATTCGATCGCTAGAAAAGTCTTGGATGTCCTGTGTGTTCTGAAAGTTTGTAATCATTCTAAGTCTCTGGCCAGAGCTGACTAAGTGATGATTAGAGAATTCGATTCTCTAAGTCATGCACGTAAGGATTACAACACTTAGAACGATCGCACCGTCATCGAACATATAAAGAGGTCTCGATGAACCAATGCCTCTAGTTCGATCGGGACATATGAATCGAAGGGACCGTACTGTACGTTAACTATATCTGAAGGTTCTTGCAGGCACTTCATTTGTATCTAGGGAATCATGACGCGTAGTTGCTAGACGCCAATCTTGATTCGTTGGGTGATTAAGGTGAAACGAGCTTCATCTTAATCGTAACTCTAAGGGACGAGTTTTGACCACAAAGAGTTGTGGGCCCACGGCTAGCTTACACCTGAACCATCGAGGGTCACACTGCTCGTGCACATGAGATCTTTGAATAAACGGTCAGAGATAAAATAGTTTATCTTTGCATGATTGGAAGTCAATATGATTGAGTCCAACATTCGTAATTTGGAATTATGAATGAGAATAAGAAAAGGAAAAGAATAGGCGAACGTATTAGTGAACTTTCTAAATCGGGAAGTTTCCAAATTTAGAAAGTCCACTGAACTAGGGTTTCCACTTTTAGAAAGTTGGAAAATAAGAGGTGGCACTCGTAATGACGAGGAAATTATAATGACTCCGAAAATGTAATCGTTACAATTTTCCGATCATTGAAATAAGAGAAACGAGCGATTAAAGGAACTAACGAGCTTAAGCTGTTGGGCCCAGTCCAACTTAAGCCCGCTAGGGTTTTATGCAAGACACTATAAATACAAGATTTATAGGTCTTGCACAAACACAAGAAACCCTAACCCTAAAGCGGCCGACCCTCTCTCTCTCGCCCTCTCTCCCGCGCGGCCACCACCGCACCACCGTCGCCGCTCCGTCGCCGGAACCGGCCGTTCGTCGGCCGTTCCTTATTCGGTATTCTTTCTCCTTTCTTTTTCTTCCGTTTTATTCTAACTACTTCGTGTCTAGTGCCACGATTTAGTAGATCGAAGTATACGAGGTGAAATCCGAGAGGAGGAAGACCGTAGATCGAAGAATCGAGGAGCAACGCACGAGCCGAAGCCGCACGCTGCCCCACGCGCCGCCCCGGAAGACCGCGCGTGTTCTACACGCGCCGCCGTGAGCTGCCACACCGCCGCTGCTGCTGCTCCATTGCTGCCCCGATTCTACGGATTGGTTTCCGTAGTAATCACGACGTATTGATCGCCCCTACCTCACGCGTCAAGAGGTAAATATACGAAACCCTAGTTTCGTTTAGGGTTTAGTTTAAACTATGATTTCATGCTTGTGTTTGTATGATTTTATGTGATTATGTGTAATCGGTTTTAAATCATTGAAAGCATGTTATTTGGTTTAAATTGCGAGCATGTTAATTGATTTAAGTACGGTTAAAGTTATTAGCATGTATGTTGTTTTATTTTCGCTGGAAGCGCAAAGGTACGCAATTAATTGTATTTAATTTATCGGGCATGTTCTTATGTGTTTTTAAAGTCGTTTAAATCGCATAAATTTTTGTTTTCCGCTGCGTATGCGTGCCCGAAACCCAACAGTTCAGGCTGATGAATATTGTTTAGGCTGATGAATATTGTTTAGCGGCGGTTATTCTCGGCGGAGCTGTTCTTGATTATTCAACAACAGCAGTTGTTCAGGCTGATGATTATGGTTTTGCGCCAATTGTTGTTGACGGATCTGTTCTTGATTATTCCACGACGCCAATTATGCAGGCTGACGAATATGTTTTGGCGGTAGTTGTTGTTGCCGGCGCCGTTCCTGATTATTCCACCGCAACAGCTGTTGTCGTTAAGGCTGATGAATATGGTTTACCTGCGTTTGTTGTTGCCGGAGTTGTTCTTGATTTTTCCACGGCGGCAGTTGTTCAGGCTGACGAATATGGTTTTGCGGCAGATGTTGTTGCCGGAGCGGTTCCTGATTATTCCACCGCGGCAGTTGTTGTTGAGGCTGATGAATATAGTTTAGCGGCGGTTATTGTTGGCGGAGTTGTTCTTGATTATTCCACAACGACTGTTTTTCAGGCTGATGATTATGGTTTTGCGCCAGTTGTTGTTGCCGAATCTGTTCTTGATTATTCCACGGCGCCAATTATTCAGGCTGATGATTATGGTTTTGCGCCAGTTGTTGTTGCCGGATCAATTCTTGATTATTCCACAGCGTCAACTATTCAGGCTGATGAATATGGTTTTGCGGCAGTTATTGTTGCCGGCGTTGTTCGTGATTATTCCGCCGCAGCAGTTGTTGTCGTTAAGGCTGATGAGTATGGTTTATCGGCGTTTGTTGTTGCCGGAGCTGTTCTTGATTTTTCCACGGCGGCAGTTGTTCAGGCTGTTGAATATGGTTTTGCGGAAGTTGTTGTTGCCGGAGCTGTTCTTGATT